GTTTGTGACATTTATTTCTTTATGCCTCAGAGTGCAATGTACATAGTGAAGCTCAACAATACAGTGAGACTGAATGAATATTCAAAAAGTGCCTCAGGTTCCTTAGATGAAAATTGCTAGAAATGGAAATAGATATTATTATTAACACACAAGGTTATTTTATACTGGGTTTCTCTGTGTGTTCCACATTTTTCTGAAAACAATGTGAAATCTATGAAAGAAGGTCTTAGTACTTTAATGCAAGACTAGCGAGATAATGGGAGCTTGAATTTAATTCTAATTTAATTAATTGTGAAACTTGTTTCTAATCCAATTTAAGCACATTTTATATTATAGGACTTGGTGAAGTAGATCTTGATTTTCATCAGAGTAAATTAAAGTAGAATTACATTTCACAGAGACTAATGAAACACTGGTGAGAGGGGGAAGGGTGGAAATACATATTTCTTTTCTGCGCTTGCCAAAGAGGCATAGTACAGTATTTACTGTATATATGTTAATTGGCTGTATAAATTCAACAGGTAACACCAGCTAGAAGGTGTTCTTTATTAAGTCACTGTAAAAGTGTAAATAAGGATTCACATGAATTAAGTCAAATTAAATGAAAAATACCTGGGAAATTACTTAAGGACTCTGACCAAAACAAACAAAGGAACAGAAACAAAGGACAGAACAGCTATACATTAGATATAATGTATATATAAAACGTATAATTATATATATCTAATGTAGCAAGACTTTTCACTAGCATTGCGTAAATGATTAACCAGAAACAGAGATATCAATGTTACTATGTTTGCATATCCATTTTTTGAACCTTTAAGGCCAGAGAAACCAAGAACTGTAGGCAGCAAAAAAGTTGCTGTTCTGAGCAGCTGCTGAAGTGTTGGTGGGTACCACCTCTAGTAGGTAGATAGCAGCCAGTGGAGCTCCTGTTAGGTAGTAACAACCTTCTGAGGGTACAAGCAGCAGCTCAGGCTTGAGAAAGGTGAAAGGATATGTAAAGACAATCCTGTCCTTTCGAGTAGTAATCACACTGAGGGCTGACCTGGGGGATCTTAACATGAGTAAGTGCTGCCTTTCTGGATTGTGTCCTGCATCTGTTGCACTAACAAAGAGTAGCAGCAGTCTGTCTTGGGACAGGTCTTTCCTAGAAAATTTATGGCAGATCTCAGATACATTTATGCCTATTGTTTCAGCCATTTTGGCTGGGATAATGAAATGTGCAGAGAAACACTAGTTATGATAAGGATGGTTTAAATTTTGGACTAGTCCTCCGTTCAAGGTCAAATCCAGTCTTCCAGAAAAACTTTGGTTGTGAAGGAGCTTCTCTACAAATCATCTCACACTAGAACTGTAGATGATATCAGAAGGACCATACTGGGCTTAGTTATACAATATGCGTTCAAAATATGTAAGACATCATTCCAGATAATCTAACAGCCTCTTTAACAATGATTGAAGGTTGACAAATTTTTTGTTCTGCATTTAGCATCAAATGCCTAAGCAATTTGTGTTAAGTTCTTGTGCAGTGAAAAAAATATTAATAATGTCAAGCTATTATCTCTAAATGCGAAGTGGAGCCACTTCTTCCAGAAATGGAGTTGGAGATCATGGACTAATTTTCACTTTTGTTAACAAAAAGACACAGAGCAAATGGCACATATAACTTGAAAGAGTCTTGTTTTGTTTGTTTGGGGTTTTTCAGCTGGAAATTCCTCTGAACAGCTGAAAAAACAAAATAACCACAACAAATAGCTGTATTGTATTTCTCCCCATTCATTTTGATCTGATATTTGGATTATGACGTTTATTTTTTGTTGTGCAAAATTTTAATATTTATTGTCGACATATGTTCTAAATTTCAGTGTTTGTGGATGTCATTGCTATGCGAGTGCTGAATAAAGCATCATTCTCAGACAGAAGGGTGATGTGGAATCAGTATTTCCACAATCAAAGCACTTAGACAAACCCTTGGAAGAGTTTGTAAAAGATGTTCTATTCATGTATATCAGGTGGCACTAGTTTCATGGACCATCTACCTATATTTCTGTCTTAAGGGATGACAGCATTCTCTGACTTCTCTTTTGAAACACGTAACAGTGCTGTCAGCTCAGTGACGTTTTTTAAAATTATTGGCATGTCTAGTTGCGTGTGACATGATTCTAAGAATAGCTGTCATATCATGTAGATTTGGTGTCATTTTTTTATCTACATGACATCCAAACCAGTAACCTTTGGGTCAATGTCTCTATAATCTGAATCTGTTTTCTTACAAGAATTTTGTTTTTCTTAACAAATCTGTTGCAATGTTAGAACAATTGTAATTTCCCTTGAACTTGGGTAGATGTGCTGGTTTTGCATTAACTGACATTTGGTGAGAAGGGAAGAAGCCACCCATGGAAATGATTTTTCTGGGAGGGGCTGCTAAGAGCTTCCTCTGTGCCTAGCAAAAACCAGCAGCTGGCTAGCTCTGAGTATTGACAACCTATTGAACCATTTAGAAGCTGGGTCTCCTCTGTGAGATTCACATTTTAAAGATGGCCAAGCCCGGCAAAGCTCTCTCGTCTTCCAGCTTTTGAAGAGGTAACTTCAAAAGTTACCTGCATGACCTGCGTGGCTGGGCCGGGCCAGCCCCATGTGGCCCGGCCAAGATTTTCTGCCCCCTGAGGGGTGGTAAGTGGGCTGCCAAGCCCCTCACTAGGGAGTCCATAGGGCCCTGTCCCAGCAGGTGGCTGGGGCCCCTTCTCACAAGGGCTGGGCCCCTTCCTGGCAGTGCCTGCCAGTCCTTTTTCCCGCGGCACCACCGGGCTGTCAGTCAGAGGCTCTATCGGCACTGGGCGTGGCCCTAAGGCCAGGAGCAGCCGCGAGCCAGGAGTGGCCACTGCTGGCCTGATCCAGTTGCAGCCAGTAGTGGCTGGAACTGCAGGGCCAAAAAATCAGCACAACCGGGACAACAGCCCTCAGATGTTGCTGTCTCAGCATGGCTCGCAATGAACTTTGTTTAGCCACTTTTAGCCAGCCATGCTGCAGAGAGAAGGACAAAAACATCAGCAGCAGCTTTTCTTGTTTCTGGTGCTCTGCATGAAGAAAAGTGCTGAGCGGATCTGGCAGCCGGCATGGCTCGCACCGTGTCGGCAGAGACCACATGACCAGCAGTGAGAGGCACAGCCAGCAGTCTCTGATGCACAGCCTGGATGAGATCAACTTTTCAGTGCTGCAAAACCCTATAAAAACTATTCAATTGATAAAGCTTGAGAACAAATGAACCTATGAACACCAATTTTTTCCCAAATCAGGAAAAGGAAAGGGTGAAGACATGTAAGGAAAACATGGGACACTGAAGTCAGTAAAGAAGGAGTCAAATTCTAGTTAGGAGGGGATAGAGGAGACACCTTGGTCTTGGGCTGAAATTCTCTTTGTAAGGCTATGGTGAAGATATATTTTTGATATATCAGTGTTTGTTTTTTCCCTGTAATTCATGAAGCACATGGAGGGATGCAGCATTCACCTGCAGCCCATGAGAAAAGGGCACTCGTGCTGGAGCGTGTAGATACTGAAAAGCTGTAATCTAATGAGAGTCTTGAACAGAGACATATAAGAAACTTTGCCCCAGGGAAAGAAAAAGAAAAGCCTCTGTTCCCAGAGATAAAAGAAGAGAGCTTTTGTTTTTTTATGCTAGAACACCTCATCCTTAAAATAAAACACCATAAGTTGACATGGCCCATGAAAGCAGCTTTGGGAAAGCTGCAAGGCATGGGAGGAAGTTTCACACTGCAAACAGATTTTCCTTTCTCGGGCGACTGATTTGCTGTGACATTGAAGCCACAAGAGAATCGTTCCTTGTGCAGAAGTCTCCATGGTATGGCGAGAGAAACTCTTCTTCCTACAAGAACTGATGAAAGACTATTGTAGAGGTGGTAGCTGATTGAAAATCCCAGGTTTTGTCTCTACATTGTCTGTGGGAAAGAAAAGAGGTTGTAGGGAGGGGAGGAGAAGTGTTCTGAAGGTTTTATTCTGATACTTATTATTCTTTTAGTTCTGTTAATAAAATTTTCTTTATACCTTTAAAGTTTTGAGCCTGCTTTGCCTTCCTCCTCATTAATGTCTCACAGCAGGAAATGAATAAATAATTCTAGTAGGTGCACTAGCAATTTTAGCCAACACTAAACCCACCACAGTAGAGTTTTGTATTAACAGCGTGGGAAATTGGGTAAATAGGGATGAATATTTTGCTAATTGAACTATCCAAAAGCATCTTCCTTCAAAGTAGCGGTAATGTGTTCTTTTAATTCTAGTTGCATATAATTATGTCCTCCTTCTTCCCATTGTATTCCATAAGCTGTGATTAAAGCTCAGTCCTGAAAAAACTCAATTGTAAAAATAATTTTTTAACCTGTGTTTGATTAAAGTCAGTCTTAAGCCTTGTGACTAGAATTTCTACTTTCCAAGTCAAGTCATTGACTTAAGTAGGGTCTAAAGACCATATATGAATGCTTTCACATATAACGCACTTTATTCCACACAGGTCTGACTAGAAGCAAGGACTTTATCTAATTAGGAACAACACTGTAAAATTCAAATAAAATAACTGTGTTAGAAACTAGCTCTGATAGATATGTTCTTAGAAGGGAAAAATATTTTTGTTAGAAAACCAGTTAATATTGTTTTAAAAATCCTCAGCTTTTTGACGAACACATTGAACTACCTTGTGAAAAATAAACACTATGTCTACTGGTACAAAACAAAAGTAAGATATTTATGTGCAGCAATATTCTTCTTTTGATTATTAGTTTTCTGATAATTTTCTAGTAAATAAGCTAAATGTTTGTAGATTTAGCAAATACTTGACTGTGGCCTATACCAATTTGGTATGTAAGCAAAATTTTTTGGTTCTGTGATTGGTTTTTTTTCCCAAAACTTTTAAAAGCATAAAAAAATAATTAGTGTTTACAATTACATCTCAACAACTCCCACTCAACATTTCTTTAAAATTGTAGATTAACTTTTTGAAGACTGAAATGGAAAGGAAGAGCAAAATGATACGAGACCTCCAAAACGAGGTAAGTGGAACATTTGATTGTCATCTCAACTCAGATTTCATATTGGACGAGAGAGTGTGCTTTGGTTTCATATATAAAACATGTTATTGTAATAGGCAAAAAAGGCACCAGTGAAATTCTCTGAACAGAAAAGCAGGCTAAAATGACTGTGTGCATTTAGAAATAGTGTTTTATTGAATGCAATGGTTGACTCCATGCTAGTGGTGCTTAGTTTGATAGCACAGCTCTGTAACTTTTGCTGCTTTTTCAGAAAGGAAGTTATGTAGATTATTGACACACAGTGAAACTTTGTTCATATTGTTATTGCTTGCTTTAAAAATAAATAACAAGTGGATGAGAAAGGCAGTGCAGTCTCAGAACTGAGATTACTAATAAAATTTTAAAAAACCTTAAACTCCTAAAATATTTTCTTAAGCTTTGTATGCCATGAATATCAATCCCCAAATTCCAAATAAAATAGAAAACATATTTTAAATAATGTTTCTTGGTATTGCACTGAATTTATTTTGAAGTTTGGTCCTGGAATAGAAACATTAAATATTTGAGCAGCATTATATTCCTTTTCCCCTTATGTCTTTTTCTCCAAACAATTTGCCTAAAGCAGAATGTAGTTTACCTTTCAATTTTTTTATTTTGCAAAGAACTTTGCACTTGGAAATATTTTATTCATATGATGTCTTGTTTTCTTGCCAACTAGGCTTCTTGTCTTTATCTGCTTTCAATTCTTTCTGTTTCATTCAATTTATCTGTTCAATTCTTTTGCTTTTCTAAACTATTCTGAGTCTGTGCATATGAAAACTGGATCTCCTTAAAGCTATCATTTAAACAGGGATCTCTGATTTCATTGGTTTATGAGATTGTATACATGTGGTCAATCTGAAAAATGTGTACATTACTTTCTAAGTCATAAATGTGTCCTAGTTTTGGACAGAAAGTCAGGAAGGTGGCATGGCCAGGCCATAATGTTATTTGATTCCATCTCACATGACTTTCCAGGGGCAGGAACAAGGAATTCTCTCATTTCTGGTTCTGTTTGAGAGAGAAAAGCATGGTGACTGAAATGGTCTGGTACTGCTTTACTTTCTGTGTAATTTGTTTCCCTTTTAGCTTTTGTTATTAATATTGCTGCTGTTACTGTTCATTTTCTTATCTCATTGCTGTTTCTTGTAAATTGTTCTTATCTCAACCTGTAATTTTCACCTCTATGCCTCCAATTCCCAACTCCATTCCTGAGTGGAAAGTGGGAGGGGAAGGAGGAGTGGAAGTGAGCTGGTCTGGGAGAGTCTCACTGGGATACTGAATTGGCAAGAACTATTCTTAAACCACGACCATAGGAAATGTCTCTTTCAGTTGCTCATGTTATTTAGGCCATGCTCTCAGTTGTCTTCATCTGCAGTCAAAAATGCCTTGCTCTCTTTTCTTACCTGTTATCATTGGATGCTTTGCAATTGAGCTGGTAAGCTCTTAATAAATCGTATCAGTCTCATCCTATTGACCAGACATTAAAAAATCTTTCCTCTTACTGAACTCAAATAAATACTTCATTAATCAACATTCAAACTATTTGACTTTTAATGATTTACTAAGGTAGGTCAGTAGACTTCTCTAATATTTACCATATTTATAGCACATTTTAGAGAATCTACTCTGAAAGGAATCTTTTTTTTTGGCACCAAATATCAGCTACTATGTGGAAAAGGAACCAAAAACTATACCCACCTAATGGCTTTCTATCAAACTTCTATACCAAGTTTGTTAGTTCCGTAAAAATAAACACTTAACGTCAGGGGTTTTTTGAAATTTGACTGAAGTTAAATTATATGATTTTGAAGAAATATTATGTTATTTAGGTCCTGCAAATTTAGGTCCTCCAAATACTGAATACACATTGCTTTTAAAAATATAAATTTGGATGTGGTATATATTTAAGTAATTGATAGCATTTTCTGTGTAGGTTTTGAAAGAATAATCTGCATATAGATATATAGAGACAGATGATGAAAATGTTTCCTTCATAGCTGCTCTTGTTCTTTCAAATATTGCATTTACCCTCATTTTACATTGCCAAATTGTGAATTTTGCAATCTTAGGCTCTTCAATGACTGTAAAAATAATTTCCTATTTAGTTCTTCTCTTCCAGCATGTAACCTAGTGCTATTCATCTTTGCCATTTGAAGATACAAATAGATGGCAATAGTCTTCCAGCTGAATGCAGCAGCTGTCATGTAGTTTGAGGAGAGGACATTGTACAGAAAGGCAATTTTTAGACTATTCAAGGCTTTGGGGGAAAAAAAGTAACAAAAAAATTATCTGTGGTATGGAGGAAAAAAAGTGCCAGATAGAGCACAAAGGGATTAGATGTCCCAAAATCATCTGGTTTTTAGAAGTCTTTAAGTGCTTCCTGAAAATTCCACAAAATATCTGTCAGACTTTCAGCTGTAACATCATGTGGATTGTGTTAAGGTAGTCTTGAGGGACTGGCATGTAAACAGATATGCTCTTATTTCAAGCAGTTTCTGTTATTAACAAACCAAGAAGTCTGGAAATGCAGAAGCATTGATAGAACTAAGAAGCTTGCAAAATGTAGAGTAAAATAGAATATGTATAAAAAGGGATACTTAAAAAACTTTCACTTTTGGAGATGGCTTGTCACAGTATTGAGAGACCACCAGCTATTCACCAATCTTCACAGAAGTAATCATGAATGCCATTTATTTCTATCTTTAGCACACCTTTTATAGGGTTTTACAGGGTCTGCGGGCAGAGCAAGCTACTACACAGTTTACATTTTTTCTCCTACACACAAGAATATTGTTTTGCTTTACTCTCTCTTCTGCAGGCAAGTTTCAAGGATTTTAGCCCTTAATATCACGACTTATTTCAAAGGCTGGTTTGTGCATACAGGCCTTTACTAATATATAAAATATATCAACATTACAGGGTAAGCATCTCGCTGCTAGCATATCATATGGTTTGTGGAAAACTGTGCCTGTACTTGGTCTGACTGAGATAGAGTTAATTTTCTCTTTAGCAGCCATCCCTGTTGATAGCACATCAGAGTTTCAGCTACTGCTGAGCAGCACTGTCCCTCTGACATTCCTTCCCCCATCAAGGGAGAAACAAGATTCTGGGATGGGACATAGCCAGGTCAGCTGAGCCAAATTAACCAAAGGGATATTTCATACCATATAGACATCAGCTCAGATGTAAAAGCTAAGGGCTAGAGGACGGATGGGGAGGCATTCATCATTCTACAATGTTTGCCTTCCAGAGGAACCACTATGCTGAGGCCCTGCTTCCCAGAAAGTGTCTAAACATCGCTTGCTGATGGGAAGTAGACGTTAAGTTTTCCCTTTGCTTATGTAGCACAAGCTTTCACTTGCTTTTTTTCTTTTGCTTTAGTAAAGTGCCTTATAACAGCCTACTAGTTGTTTTCAATCTTATTCTCTCCCCTGTTCCACTGGGAAGGGGAGTGATAGAGTGGTTTAGTGGGCATCTGCCACACAGCCAAGGTCAAACCACTACAGTGCCAAGACTGCTCTAGAAATGAAGCTGAAGCAGAATGCTCTGTTAACCCTTTTTTTTTAATGTCAGAAAAGTCACAAGTCTTGACAATTTGGTACTTAGAACTAATTGTTTTAGTGCAATTCTGAATATGTTTGTACATGATGGATTAATTTCTTAAATTAATGTCTTTTCTACACTGAAGTGTGTGGTGCATTTTTTAAGTTTGTTATTATTTTCCTACTGGTACACCTATAAAAGTGATTTTTCTCTACTGAACAGTAGATAATTGTTATTCAGCTTTGTCACATGGATGCTTTGTCACATGGATACTATACTTGTCCCACATTAGACTTAGAAATTAGAAACTAGAAATGTATAGAGAAAAAAAAATTACTCATATTTAAACCATTAAAATTTGCTTAACTATTTAAACCATTTTATTGCATTTGACAAGAAGTGACTGACTGGCTTAACATATTACCTTGGAGCAAAGGGTTTTATAATATTTCTATGAATATCTACATTAAAATACATTAATAGCTTTATAGATTTATAATAATCCCATGTATTTGTAAAGTTGATACAGTGGTTTTTAAAAGGCAATATATTTTTTTGCTGTTTAGACTGGCAGAAATTTGAAAAACATTAATGAATTTTGGCTGTAGCTCTCAGTAATATGGGGAGCGGTTGCTAAGAAGGATAGTTTTAAATCACAGCCTTGTAAACAATTCTTGTGCTCTATTCATATATAAATTGTGGTTATAGCTTTACTGTTGAGTAAATCATCCTAAACCAGATTTTTTATTCTCATTGTGTTTAGATGCAGTAATAAAGCTTAAATTAAATAAAGCTTAAGCTGCAGCAGCTTAAAGTCTTACCTGATATATTGGGAATTTTATTCCCTACAGGGTGAATTCAATTGAGTTGTATTGAATTATGGTGGGAAAAAAACAAAAAAAGATGTCCCTTAGTAAAGCAGAAATTAAATTCTATGGCTTTGAGACTGCATGCTGATATTGACACCGGAGTTCTTCAGTTTCCATTCTCTGCAGATGAAGCTAACTTTTTTCCCTAAGTATAAAATCCTGTCTGCTTGGGAAGAAAATTGGGTAAAGTCCTGTGCCTTCCTTGGATGCTGCATTGGTTCTACAACTTGGGAAACACCCACAAGTTTCAGAGATGGGGGCAATGCCTAGGAAAAGGGGGATGAACAGGAAGGGTTCAGGAGCAGCTGCAGGTATCATGTTCTGCTGAATTCAATATTGTTTATTGATTGATACCACCTTCTTTTGAAGTAGAAGTCCTATTTTAAAAAAATAAATTACTTAATATTATTCTATGACTTTTTTTTTACTGAGTATGACCAGGAAAAGGTAGAAATGTAGTTCAGTCAGTTGGAAATGGCTTTAAGGGGTCAACATATGAGAAAAAAAATTATATTGAATCATGATTGTCAGTGAGATATATTTATAGTGATGCAGTAGCAACTGCAG